ATTGATTTAATGTGAAAATGTTTTAATTCTTTAAAAATCTTTTTCTCTGCCCCTGGGTATTATTCAAACAAACTAAGTACATTGTTATGATAAGCAATGATGCCTCTTCCAAAATTGTGAAATTCATGGCCCAGGGGACAGGAGTTCTTGTGCTAGGGCGGGGCTATATAGATCCTGTAGTGAAGGTGAATTATTTCTTTGAAAATCTTCTTCTCTGCCCCTGGGTATTGTTTAAACAAACTAAGTACATTGTTATGATAGGCAAGGATGCCTCTTCCAAAATTGTGAATTTTATGACCCCAGATTTAAGGGTTCTGGTGAGAAGGGGGGGGGCTCCTATTGATTATAAAGTGAAAAAGCAAAATTTATTTGAAAATATTCCTTTCTGCTTCTGGTTAAAAAAGCAATGAAGCTAAGTGTATAGTTATGATGAGCAAGAGTGCTTCTTCCAGAGTAGTGAATTTCATGACCCCTGGTCAGATGTGCTGGTGTGAGGGTGGGGCTCTTGATAATATAGTAAAAATGCATTAATTCTATTAAATAATCCTGTTTGCTCCTTGGTGTTAAGCAGATAAACAAAGTGATTAGTTATGATGAGCAAACTTATGGTCCCAGGGTCAGAAGCTCTGGTGTTGGGGGGGGGGGGGCTCTATTGATAATATAGTGAATCTGTAGTAAAAATGCATTATTTCTTTAAAATTCTACTCCGCACCTGGGCATATCAGAGGCAAAAAGAGTAAAAGTTTTAATAAGGAAAATTATTTTTACCAGGTTTTTGAACATCTGGACCATTTGGTCAAGTGTTCTGGTCCTGGCCAGGGCTCTATTATTTTGTATTCTACTGAGAGGAGTTATTCCCCTTTGCCATTTACTTTTGATAATTTATCACTGTAAATAATGTACTTGAAAGGTAAATAGAATAAGATAATTATGCAAAAACTTTTATTGTATAATACAAAAAGTACTTTCATAGTTTTAATGATCAGATAGACTTGTAAGTAGTAGATAAATAAAAATGAGACAAAGACCAAGAGAGGCCAATGCAAGAAATTTCAACAAAGGAGTTAAATAGTACAGAAGCATTGATAATTTGTTAATATACTGTATGGTGATAGTGATAAATGGGGATCAGATTTATAGAACATAATTTATGAACTGTTAATGAATATTAAGACCAATTATTTTGTTGATCATGATCACCCTATTTTTCTTGCTTTTTGGCAACAAAGTTTCACCTTTCAGTTCATTTTATACTCTATGCATCCTTTACATTGTTGTATCATACTCAGGTGACCGTTAAGGCCCTTGGGCCTCTTGTTTAATTAAAGTAGGATATTTTATACTCTCAATCTGCAAATTGAAGGAAGAAGGTATTATAAATACTGAACTGCAGGTATTATGCCCGCTCTCTATACGACATGATGTATAGAACATTTCATAGTTAATGAAAAAAAGGTCAGTCAAAGGCTGTTGAATGACTTTATCTCTGGACTGTAAAAGTTTATCGCAGTCCTAGGAAAACCCATAGGCTTTCTTTTTAATACTTTTTTAAAAAAAAAAGAAGAATTTTCTTAGAAATTCATTATTTCATATTATTGCTGTACTGATGAAGAGCAATAAAGGAGAAAACAACAAAATAAAATCAATGAAATTCACAATGAGTTTTCTTTTTCTGTCAATACATGTGTAATAAAATAGAAAATATGGATTGTCTTCTGGAATGAAATGAAAAGATAGTGTTAATGAGTTATGATTGCCAGGCAACAAAAAATCATTTAGGAATGGATGAAATGCTACTTACGCTGACCTTAAGGACATAGGACACTCACAAAAATTATAAAAAAAATCGGCAAATCAGTTTGTGCAGGATAAAAACATATTTATCACAAAATTTCCTTATCAAACTAACCTTATTTTTTCATTCTCCATAAATCTATATTTATATCTGTATATTGAAATTCAATGCATAAACATGAAAAAATGAAATAACCCCAAAATTTACTTGATTTTTATGATGTGGCAAATTAATTTGAACCTAAAAATAGCAAAAAAGATGAAAGGGGTGATAAAATTCCCAATTTCTTCAGATTTTGAGTATCCTTTGACCTTAAAGGAACATGGACACACTTGCATTTCTGTTTTGTTTACAATTTTGAATTTCTAATTTTATTGAAAATTCTTAATGTATTGTTTTTTTTTTAATTTTTTTTTAATAATAGTTTTAAGGTCAGACAGCACATTCCTCATTAACATATACTTTTCCCCAAGAATTTGTGATTGAAGTAGTGGTTCTTTAACAAACTTTTTCTGACAAAAAAATTAGGGTACATTACCAGGCATTTGTGCAAGATTTGAGAGGATGGTGTTTCCTGCATGTATAATCCTCCTGGAAATCACTTGAATTGCATTGCAATATTTTAGTATGTATTTTTTTTTAAAGACATTTTGAAAACAGTTTAGAAATCACAAGTTAAGACGAATTATGAATATTTTTCATACATTATGAAGAGACACTAAAACAGACATTTGAGGAACATGTCATCAGACCTTAGTATTGTTTATTATAAATACACCTCAGATTTCCTTTTTCCTTGAATATTAAGAATTAATTTTAGTTCATGAAAGTGCAAGGATGTACGACAATCAAATACATTATGTACAGATAAATAAAAATTTATACTTTTAAAATCACTAACATGGTTTTATAACACATCAGCCTGAAAAGCTTTTGCAATTATAATACATGTACAAGTCATGAAATTCTATACTGAAAGATTTTAAGGTTTGAGTCCAATTTTGCATAGCATATATCCTTGAAATTTACTTATGAATACTTTTTTCACTATGACTACAGCACATTTTATTATTTTATTAGTCCCCTACCGGTGAAACTGGAGGGAACTATAGGTGTCCTCTAAGTCTGTCCATCTGTCTGTCCCTCTGTCTGTCTGTCAGTCTGTCCCACTTGGTTTCCACACTTTTTTTCTAAACTTTTGCAGATATTGAGCTGACTTTTGGCATATGACTTTATGTTGATGAGTTATAGATCAAGTTTGCATTTTGTTTCACTTCATTGATTTTTGACGGAATTATGGCATTTTCAATTTTTAATGGCAACCAGATTACACTTGCTGGTAGGGGACTAGTATTGCTAATGCAATACTCTCAGAATGCTTGTTAGTCCCCTACTGGTGAAACCCGAGGGGACTATAGGTTTCCTCTGAGTCTGTCCATCCATCTGTCTGTCTAGCTGTCTGTCTGTCTGTCCCTCTGTCTGTCTTTCAGTCTGTCCCACTTGGTTTTCCGCACTTTTTAGTCCCCTACCGGTGAAACCAGAGGGGACTATAGGTTTCCTCTGAGTTTGTCCATCCGTCTGTCCGTCCGTCTGTCTGTCTGTCTGTCCGTCTGTCTGTCTGTCTGTCCCTCTGTCTGTCTGTCAGTCTGTCCCACTTGGTTTTCCGCACTTTTTTCCTAAACGCTTGCAGATATTGAGCTGATCTTTGGTATGTGAGTGTATCTTGATGAGTTACAGATCAAGTTTGCATTTCGTTCCGCTTTATTGATTTTTGACGGAATTACGGCCTTTTCAATTTTTATGGGTTTTCCGCAATTTTCTTCTAAACGCTTGTAGATATTGAGCTGATTTTTGGTACGTGGCTTTACCTTGATTAGTTATAGATCAAGTTTGCATTTCGTCCCGCTTTATTAATTTTTGACAGAATTATGGCATTTTCAATTCTTAACGGGAACCAGATTACACTTGCCGGTAGGGGACTAGTATTGCTAATGCAATACTCTCAGAATGCTTGTTTCCTAAACGCTTGCAGATATTGAGCTGATTTTTGGTATGTGAGTGTATCTTCATGAGTAACAGATCAAGTTCGCATTTCATTCCGCTTCATTGATTTTTGATGGAATTATGGCCTTTTCAATTTTTTATAGGGTTTTCCGAAATTTTCTTCTAAACGCTTTCAGATATTGAGCTGATTTTTGGTATGTGACTTTACCTTGATTAGTTATAGATCAAGTTTGCATTTCATTCCGCTTCATTGATTTTTGATGGAATTATGACATTTTCAATTCTTAACGGGAACCAGATTACACTTGCCGGTAGGGGACTAGTATTGCTAAAGCAATACTCTCAGAATGCTTGTTTCAGAAGTTTTTGTGTTCATCCATCAAGTGGTGATTGTTTAAATGTTCTAGAAATATCTTTAACATAAATGTTAAAGGATATTTGAAATTGACACAAATTCTTTACTAATGTCATGCAAAATCAATAGAATTGAAAAGCCAGTAGCAAAGGTTGATATTTATGTACAATAGATCTGTATGCTTGCATGTTTTTAATTCTTGGTTGTAATGTCATAATGTCATTTGAAAGAAAACCTGATCACTTCTGAAAACACATCTCATTATAGTTATCTAATTTCACTGATTGGTATAGCTAAAAGGTATATCCTGATTAAAAAAAATAATCTCAAAACACTCATAGAATTACATTTCTAGGACAGTCTTGCAATATAATCAGCTTTTCTATGTTTAAAAATTGGTGAACATCTGGCTTTGAAAGTTTCCAGTAATTTTTCATATTCTTGAGTTTTTTTCCAAAGGTTTTTTGCTTGTTTTTATTCAATCACTTTTATTTAAGGATTCAGAATTTCAACATATGGTTGCTATAGTTTCTGATTTGCTGAGACATTGTTTTCTTTCAAACAGTGGCTGCAGATACTGTCACTGAAAGAGTAATTACAAAATGTTTCTCATTAACTAAAATTATCTTATGGCATGTATAAAACTTCTACGAGAAAATCCTAAGTGATCATAGCCCTTGATTTTTGAGATTACAATGTATGCATGTATTCAGTACCCCTCAAAAAGTGATCAAAAGACAGTACCATAGTGGGTAGTGAGCATGGCTGCTGTAAATTTAAGATTTATATGTACATTTATATAATCTTTTGTTTCACTAAATAATTTTTTTAATTCAATTTTTCTAGGCCCGATATGTTTGTGCAGTAACAAATGATGTCTTGGGAAACTCTGTACCATGTGCTGTGTTGAAAACATCGTAAGTTTTATAAACAGCAAATTAAAATGCTGTAAATAGGGGGCATTTATCATGTTTATACTTTGATTTCTTTTCTTGGCTTATTGGAGGTGCCAAAAACTCCATTAAGACTTTAAAATGTTTGATCAGTATGCCACATTAACATGTTGCTAAGCTGCATTGGATGAAAAATGAATTCATTTTTTTGTTACAGTATAAGAAATTTTATTTTTTTATATATTAATATTTATCTTAATAATTTGTAATACAAATGTTAGTATCTTTAAGATGATAAACTAAATTGTTCTTTTCTAAACTTTTGTTGTGAATCATGCATATGCAGGGGAAGTGTGGTCACCCTTGATTGTGTCGAGAAGCTTCTAAAAAAAGATATGCTGGATCCAATCAACAACAAACCAATGAAGGACTCGGACATCATTCCACTCAAGGTTTGGCACATGCTATGTTACAGTGTAACATATGTAATCATTAAGTGTACAGTCAAACCTAAATATCTTGGAACTTGATAGGGTCAAGAAAAAAACAAGGAAAAAAAAGGAAAAAGGCACATGTATCTGGGGATTTGAGATACTGAAGTTATATTACATGAAGATAAAGTGGTTAGAACACACTTCTACACAACCTTGGTATTCAATGTATCGAAGTTCAGCTGTACTATGCTTTCATCAGATTACGTGACATTGTATGTAATCATACCTGTCAAAGTGAGTAAATTATATATAACAACAAACACACAAATTATTTTTTTCTTTATATTTTTCAGGGAGCTTCTGGATTTTCTGGATCAGGACATCAACTTGAAGTGAAGAAGGATGGAGCTGCTATTATGGCATAGTATTATTTAAATGTGATATACAATGTTGAACCAGTCATTGAATTGAGCCTATAAAATATAGATTTTTACTATTCAGAAAAAAATGCTGTTTCAAATGTGGTTCTTCAGGCTGCAGACATATAGACATCTGTATACATGTATGTATTATGTTTATCTCTGATTGAAATGTCTCTCTGTTTATTGATTTAGATGTAAAGAAAGTGTTTAAAAAAAGTCTGTTTATCTGTATATTCACCAAATTTTGATAGATTTTATGATTTTAAATCTTTTCTTTTTTTATCAGTGGTGGTTCTTTGTAATGTTTTAACAATACATGTATTTCAAATGCAAAATGTAATTTCATTTGCCACTAATATTTAAAATACTTGATCTAGATCTGAAATGATTGTTGTTTACATGTCCAGTAATGATATAATTCAATAACCTAAATAGCTTTAGACATGAGGGATCTTCATTTTACTGTATGGAATGCACAAATCTGTCATGATTTTTTTTTTAAGCTAGCCTTAGCCTAAGGCTCAAATGAACTTTTCTTATCAAAGTTTTGTTGGCTTCTATGTTTAATTTCACCTTTCCCTAAGGAAACAGTGCCAGTTTAAACAACAATTGCAACAAAGCATGGGTTGGTGGTGGAAATTCAACTTTTGAGGAAATGAATGACAGGATTTTATTGAGGAAGAGAGGATAGAAGGTAAAAATAGGGTGGGGTCATGTAATATATCTTTTTTTAAAAGACCACTGGGGCAGAAATTAATATAATTAAACCTCATGTTCATTACATGTATAGGAGAAATTCTTAGAAATCCTATCAAAATCACTAACCTTGAATTCCATATGGGTTATAGATTAGAATAAAGTTCATTTAAAGCCCATGTGGATAGGATGGGTTTCATTTGGGTGGAGACAGAGTGTAGATTTAAGTTTCATTTTATTGCTTGGGTTGGGGCACAATAGAGCCAGGGTCTAAGTTTGAGATGGGATGTGATAGAAAAAAATCTGACAAGTTATCCAACAGGAAGGCTACACATACACAATGTAATAAATATACAAATACCCTTTATAAAAGATGCTTTTATTCGATTATTTGGACAATAAAAATTGTACATGTCTGACTGAGATAAGATAATATCATACAGTGTCTTGATTAATGACATAGAGTGGCAATGATTTATATATGTCCAGGCACAAAGTTTAGGGAAATGTTGTTCATTTTGTGTGAATAAATGTTTCTTTATAATAAAAAAATCAACTTGCTCTATTTTCCCCTTTTTTCTCATGCAAGGATTTGCAGTGGAATATAGTGGCTTGACCATATGACGTTGTCTTTGCATCCCCGCCAATGTTGGCACAGCATAAAGAATACTTTTAACCCCCCCCCCCCACTTTTGTTACGTAAAGGTAGGGGGTTGCTTGGGTCTGCCATCCGCCAGTCTGTCTATCCGTCATTCTATGTCTGCAACACTTAAGAGCCAGGATGATAAATATTTCTCTAAAACCCACATTGATTTTAAGGCTGAAAGGGTAAGTTAGAAATTGATGTATTGCATAACATGGTTTCCAGATGATAATCTTGATTTTCCTTGAGCTTTTGAAAGGAAATAAGATGATGACTCTAAAGATCTTTATTGATTTGCAGGCCTAAAGGTCAAGGCCACAAATAAATTCATTTATATATATATATATATATATATATATATATATATATATATATATATATATATATATATATATATATATACTGTAAATGGGATCAAGTCCTCTATCATCCTTGGAATTGAAAGATGTGAAAAGTATTTAGGAGGCATTCTTACGTAACAATTAAGGAGTGGAAAGCCACTACATATTATATTGTCTGAATATGAGATCATAGAAAGTAGAGGAACCTATCTTTTTGCAAATTCTGCATTACAACGAAACAATTATATTAAGTTTAAAAGTGCAATGATACTATAAATGTGGAATTAACGGGTTTTGTTGTCACGTGTTGTAGCAAATTGACGGAAATTAACACGACGTCGACTTCTTTTTGTGTAAATCAATCTCTAATACTTGTTGATTAAGATGGAAAGTTCATACAAGAAGATCCTGTTTATCCATGCATTACAGTGCATTATCACGATAGGAAAATTAAAACTAGACGTATTGAAGAAACCAGCTATATTGCAGAAACCCCTTTATCTTCCTCAGAAGGGAAACTTACATCAATAAAGTGATAAATGAACTTCATAAGCTTTTCATGCAACAAAGCTCTAAAATCCAAATACATGTACGCTTCCTTATCTGTCAATATATCTGTCTAAAATAACCATAATAACACGTATTACAGTATATGAAAGAATTAAAAAGGTTTTCTATATTGGTAAAACTATTAAACATAGATACAAAATTCCTTAAAAATCAGCTCCACGGTGAAACAAACAAGAGGCATATGGGCCACATTGCTCACCTGAGCACTTGGGCTAGAGGTTCAGGGTTGAAAAGTTTGAATATATACCTCCCCCCCTCCTCTAGGGACAGAGGAGGAGAAAATGAATTTTTTAAACAAATTTGCATTAAACATTTCCCGAGAATTTTAAAAGGTTTCTCATATATATTCCCATGTAAAAGTTTTATTGCCCATTGTGACCCCATCATACCCCAGGGGGTCATGATTTGAGCAAACTTTAATCTACACTATCTGAGCATGCTTCCATGTAAATACATATATGACTAATCATGGCTTTGCTGTTCTTGAGAGGAGTTTTTAAAAAAGTTTTTTTCCTTAGTATTCCTATGTAAAACTTTGATCCTCTATTGTGGCCCCATCCTATCGAGGGTCAGGATTCGATAAATTTGAATCTACACTACCTGAGGATGCTCCCATATCTATATGACTAACCATACATTAGCTTTGCTGTTCTTGGGAAGAAGATTTAAAAAAAAAATCATTTATATTCTTTTGCAAAACTTTGATCCCCAACTGTGGCCCAACTCTACCCTTTGGGGGCCAGGATTTGAACAAATTTTAATCTGAACTACCTGAGGATGATTCCATTATAATCATATGATCAATATAACTAATCATGGATTTGATGTTTTTGATAAGATTTTTACCTATATATTCCTATGTAAAACCTTGATCTCCCAATTTTGGCCCCACCCTACGCACCTCCCGGGTCATGCTTTTGACAAATTTGGACTTAATGTAATGAAAGTTTCATATAAGCTTCATCTTTTGGCCCAGTGGTTCTTGAGAAGATTTTATTTAAAGATGCCAACTAATTTTAATTATCTATTTTTGATTTCATTTGAACAAATTAACCTAAATCTCCTTCACCCAAGGATGCTTTGAGGAAAGTTTGCTTGAAATTGGCCCAGTGGTTTTGGAGAAGAAGTCGAAAATGTGAAAAGATTACAGACGGACGGACAGACAGACAGACACTGGACAAAATGTGATCAGGATAGCTTACTTTAGCTAGCACCTCAGATAAGTTAAAAAGGTTATTTCATATACAAGATAAACAAGATGTGTTTGTGAAACACTGATGCCCTCTTAAGGCAGCTCAAGATCAAGTTTAGATGTTTTCAAATAGGTCAAACCCAAAGTCAAGAGTTCAAAAATTTTGGTACAAAAAAGGCCTTGTTTCAAAAAATGCACATGTGAAATATGAAAACCTTAGCACTACCCATTCAGAAAATATTGCAAGGTTAATTTTTTTCAAAAGTAGGCCATACCCCAAGATAAAGGCCATGAGATAAAAAAAAATATTGGCACCACAGAAAAGGTCCTGTCACAAAGAATATGTGATATGTGAAATATGAATGGCCTAGCATCATCCTTTCAAAAAGTTATAGCCAAGTTTTTTTTTTCAAAAGAAGGTCAAACTTCAAAGTCAAGGTAAAGAGGTCCAATATGTTGATACCCCAAATAAGGTCTTGTTACAAGGAATACGCATGAGATATATGAAATCCTTAGCAAAACCAATTAAAAGTTATGGCCAAAAAAAGGTATTGTCACAAGAAATATACGCGAAATAGGACAGCCCTAGCACCAATCATGGCATCCCAGACAAACCGGTCAGAATGGTGAAACTCCTATATGATTCATTCCAATGTGCAGTCCTAGAAGATGGGGAAGGATCAGACTGGTTCCGGGTAACAACAGGAGTGAAGCAGGGTTGCACAATGTCTGGATTCCTATTTTGGTTGGTTATAGATTTCGTAATGAGAAGAAATACAGAAACGGAACCAACAGGAATAAGGTGGAATTTCACAACAAAACTTGAAGATCTAGACTTCGCAGATGATCTTGCTCTACTTTCCTAAAAATTTTGGGACATCCAACAAAAGACGCAAAGACTAAACTAGGCAAGCTGGCATCAGAAAAAAAACATTGAGAAAACCAAAGTGATGAGACTCAATTCTGATATAATAGAGCCAGTCAAGATTGATGGACAAGACCTGGAGGATGTAGAAACATTTACTTACTTTGGAGGTGTGTTAACAACAAAGGGAGGATCTGATGAGGACATTACCAACAGACACGGGAAAGCTAAATCTCAATTTGGAAGACTCAGAAAAATCTGGAGCTCATCAAAATTTTCGATCCAAAGAAAAGTAAAGTTATTTAACAGCTTGGTCCTGTCAGTTCTAATGTATGGAAGTGAGACATGGAAAATAACGAAGCGACACAAAAAGAAGATTGACACCTTCCAGAATAGATACCTTGGGAAAATCCTGAGAATAAGATGGCCTGAGAAAATGTCAAATGAAGAACTCCATCGTAGAACGAAGACAGCTAGAGCGAGTGAGATAATAACTCTCAGGAAGTGGAATTGGATTGGCCATGTACTGAGGATGGAGAACACCAGAATTTGCACCCCGCACTGACATGGCATCCAGAAGGAGAGAGGAAAGTAGGTCAGACGAAAACAACTTGGAGAAGAACCAAGGAACAAGAAAGATTACAGCTGGGATGGAATAGCTGGGCGTCAGCGAGGGCAGCAGCCAAAGACAGAGGCAGGTGGAGAAAGTGTATTGGGGCCTTATGTGCCAGCGGGCACGAAGAGGATAGGTGAGGTGAGGTAGGTAGCACCAATTCTCCAAAAGTTATGGGCATGGTTAAAAGTTTTAGCGGACAAACAGATTAACAGATAGACAGACAAACAGACCAAAAACTATGTGCCCCAATATCTCTGATTAAGGGGGCATAAAAATTAAAGGAGGAAATATTGAGCTATTTAAATAAGTACAAAAAGCAAACGAATACTGTCGTATGGAGACTACATACATGTAATTGAAGCGATGCATGTACAAATGTACACTGTAGATCGGTGAGAGGTCAGACTGCAAACGGCTATTTAAAAAGAGGTAGATTTAATTAATATCAGCATGGAACCAATGTTGCTCTAAAATGTGAGGAAAATTTGATGTTGAAATCGTATAAGTACTAAAATGATACCAAAAAAACTTCAATTTGCGTGCAAAATGTTAAAGAAAAAACTTCGCACAATTTCGGAATAATTTAATGAGATTAAGTATAAAAAATTTAGTCAGTAACAAAAACGATATTTTGAATAAGGTAATTGAAGACAATTATGTAAATTACATTGCTAAGGTATCGGCTTCAGACAAAATTTCATTTGCTAATCAGTGGCGGATCCAGGATTCATGCAAAAAGAGGAGGCAACAGCTAAGGGTCTGGCGGACGTAGAATGAATGACAATCTAACAACAACAACAAATGATTTGATTTCTTAATCTAAATATGTATATTTTTGGTCACAGAAGACCCCCCCCCCCCTTCTAAATCCACCAGTGCTAATACTTCCAAAATGTTTCAAAGAACTGGACAAAAAAGATGATCACTTACATGACATCATCTACAATGTGAAAAACAAAATCTTGATTCTTGTGATTGATTAAAAAAATGTGTGTTAAATAAGAACTGAAACAAAAACATGCAGCCCTTATAAATCACACATGTATTATCAGAGGAAAAAGCAGGTCGAGGTCATTTTTATCAAAACAAATTGTTATTCATTGCATCAAATGTTAATCCTAAGAAGAAGATAAAAATTATAATTCAGGATATGCAGAGATTAATGAAAGCTCATTTTCAAGGTTAAAGGTCAATGTCAAGTGTAACCGTGAGTGTATAAACTATTTTCAACATGTGTGAATTTTGTATAATGCACTTTAATATTGAAGTTTTAATGGTGTGTTCTTAAAATTCCGTATTGAAATTAAGTTTAAACTTTGCTGATCATTCCCCTA